GTAGGGGAGACACTCCAACCTTTTTATCAACTTTATGGCCTTCTCTGGACTTGTTCCAACAGTTCCATGTCCCCCTACTCACCAGGGTCCTTTGAGGGGAGGGCAGTGTGGTGGTCAGCTGAGTCCAGCTGCTTTTCTCGAATCCTGCTGGTGCACAGTTGCCGTGGGAGGAGAGCTTGAAAGCTACTGGGTGAACTGTGCTGCCATTTTCCCTGACTGCTCCTGACAGCCTGGGGAGGTTGCTGCAGTGACCGGATTTGCAAGAAACTCCAACAGCCATGGTACTGGAAAACTAATCCCGTTACTCTCACAGAATCAACCAGGTTGGAAAAGACCTCTGAGATCATCAAGCCTAACCCACCACCTAACACCACAACATCAACTAGGCCATGGTACTAAGTGCCATGTCCAGTCCCTCCTCAAACACTTCCAGGGATGGGGACTTCCACCACCTTCCTGGGCACTCTGTTCCAATGTCTAATCACCCCTTCTGTGAAGAAATTCTTCCTATTGTCTAACTCAAATCTACTCTGTTACAGATTGAAACTACATCCTCTCATCCTGTCACCAGTGGCCTGGGAGACGAGACCAACCCCCATCAGGCTACAATCTCCTTTACGGTCTCCCCTGAGCCTCCTCTTCTCCATGCTAAACACACCCAGCTCCCTCAGCCTCTCCTCACAGTACTTGTATTCCAGACCCTTCACCAGCTGAAGTTGCCCTTCTATGGATATGCTTCAGCACCTCAGTATCCTTCTTGAATAGAGGGGCCCAAAACTGGCCACAGTTTAAACTGAATGATGGCTATGCCAAAAGAAAAACAAGTACCCCTTTTTCATTTCCTCTGACAGCATCTTTAAATATGCTAGGTATTTTAAACCTGTATTTATGAAGACCAAGCCCAAGCAATACATGCAGATCTCATCACCTCATCCACTTTGGGTCCCCAGTTCTGGGCTTAGCAGTTCTAAATTGCTTGGTAGTTAAATGTTCAGATGGTTTTTACATACCTAATTATGCCACTACTCTTTAATAAGGCACAGTACCACTACCTCAAATATAAAGACAGCAGGTGTATAAAGTTGCATTTTCTTTAGCTACACAAAATGTGTATTTGACACGATTGGTGCAACTTGGGC